TAAAGGATTCTGGTCAGAGATGCTGGGAGTTGGAGACTTTTACTATGAACTGGGCGTGCAGATCATTGAAGTTTGCTTGGCTCTGAAACACAGGAATGGAGGTGAGGATCCCACTGTGTCTGGTTTCTAGGAGATGCAGCTAATAGGAGGATACCTGTTCCCTGTGGAAAATGAGTCGCGTTGCTCAGTGTAGCATTCTTTACTAGATTTCACGAATTACTGAGATGGCAGTTTTGTCTTTGTTGTCCCCAAAAAGCCTTGTTTTGTTTCTGCATGTTACAGCTACACCACTGGTAGTCAGACAGCTTTATTGATTCCTACAGAAATCAACCAGCTCTGCCCTGTTTAGGTAAAAAAAATGTAACTTGCAGTATTGTGGGGAAGAAGCAGGGATCACTGACAATCTTATCATAGCATCATAGAATCGTTTAGGTTGGAAAGGACTTTTAACATCATCAAGTCCAACCATAAATCTTGAAGGAGTATGAAACAGATAAGTTAGTGCTTTGAGCCTGGCAGTAAGATTGTCTCTGAGGGATCACAGCAATATCCAGAAGAGCTGGAATACCAGTGATAAGTACCTCATTAAAAGACAGTAGATGTTCTTCACTCCAAAAGGGCAATCTGAGACCAGGAATGGGCTACAGCAAAGCCAGCTGAAACTTGAAGCCGATACATTTGTGGGAGAAGGCAACAGCTGACCGCTGCATGTTAGTTCTGGGAACAGAAGTGACTCGATGCTTATCTCACCCAAGGCTGGATACTGGGAACAATGAACAGCAGCTTGTAAAATGGAAGGCAGGGGGGAGGCAGTGGCAAATGCACAAAGGACCCTTGACTGCTCTGTCTGGAGTAGTTTTGTTGCTATGCAGTAATGCTTTCCTGTCCCCTTTTGTTGACTCCTAGGTCTGATAACACTGGAAGAACTTCATCAGCAAGTGCTGAAGGGAAGGGGGAAGTTTGCTCAGGATGTCAGCCAGTGAGTGTCTGTACATTACAGGAAAGAGGAATCAGGTAGCATTCAGGGAAGAAAAAGGGGGTGACTGATCTCAGCAGCACTTGAAGGTGCTGGTGTTAATTGGACTCCAAATTTGACTTCTAGCAATGGAGCTGCTTAATTAGTTAATGACTTGACCATCTCAGAAAGCAACAGTGTGCCTTCTCTGGGAGCCCTAAGGCATAAAGGAGTGTTGCCTTGAGCTGGAAACAATTAGTTCCCTGCAAATCCAGCTCTTACTGCCACAGGCTGCTAAAGCTGCTGTGGGCTCCTGGGACTGATCCGTGTCATTGCAGAAGCAGACTTTAGGACACAACTCACCGTGATCACTACCTGGGGCTGGATCTTAAAGTTTAGCACTTGCAGCTCAGGTGCTACAAGCATGTCTCTAATGCAAGTCTGCACTTCTGAAGGGGGGGCACAGATATGCAAACAAATCTAAATTGCTTTATAAAGATTTTTCTCAGCTGTTGATTACCTGAAACTGCAGCAAGCTGCAAGGAGCTTTTATTGCTCATAGTTTCTGCACATCAAGTCTTCCTCATTTACAGAGCGTAGTGTGCAGTTTGAGAGAGGCTCTTGCCTTAAAGCCTTGCATTGACCTCTGCTTCTCAGGGATGACCTCCTTCGTGCAATCAAGAAACTGAAGGTCTTGGGGAACGGCTTTGGGATTATCCCTGTTGGTGGAACATATCTGATCCAGTCGGTGCCAGCTGAACTGAACATGGATCACACTGTCGTCTTGCAGCTGGCAGAGGTATTGAGCCAGGAGATTTTAAAATACAATCATCTTGAAAGAACATTATTGCTTCCCTGATGGGGAACTGTGATTAGACCAGGCCTGTAGGCAAAACTGTCCACACTCTTCTCAACTATGGCCTTAAGTCTTGACTATAAGCACACAGTATTTTTCCTCTCATTTCAGAAAAAGGGCTACGTAACAGTCAGTGAGATCAGGTCCAGCCTGAAGTGGGAGACAGAACGTGCAAAGCAAGTGCTGGTACGTATGAAGGTCTCGTGTGCCCCATGGAATCGGTGACAGCGTAGAGTGACTGCTCCTGCAGCAGACACTTGGCTGAGGATGGGTTATCACAACACACGCAGGGGATCCTAAGCTAGCTGCTAGACCAAAGGCAGAGTACACGCTGCATAAATATAGACTGAGGAAAGCAGAGTCTCAGAAGCTGCAGATACTCCTGTGGCTTCACTAATCTCCATTAAAACTCGAATCTTGTTAGCTCAGGTCCTACATAAACATGCATGGTGGGCACAGCTGGATGTCTCAACTATATTTCCCCTGGTCAAGCAAAAATTATTTTAGCTGAAGTTCTATACCCTCCCTTGCCATAGAATAAATGTGGAGTCAAACCTCTATTGTGAATGGCGTCTCAGCCATTTAGTTAAGTTTCACTCGGTCTCCACTCTGTTTGTATAGGAACACTTGCTGAAGGAAGGAATGGCCTGGCTGGATACGCAGGCAGCAGGAGAACCTCAGTACTGGCTGCCTGCTCTCTTTACAGAGCTGTACTCTCAGGAAATCACTCCAGAGGAAGCCAAGGAGGCAATACCTTGACTGCTACGTGTTCTGTGCCTGTATATAATTCTTCTTGTGAGGTTATTTGCATATCACCTGAAACACAGGGACAGAGGACTTGAAATAAAAGTTTTGTAAGAAGTGTCTAGCTTGAAGAGTTTAATAGGACTAATTCATACTTGCTTACCTCTGAATTTTCTCCTTTGTTGCGGGTGGAAATGCCACTTGCCATTACAGACAACTGATTACCTTGTCACAGCAAGAGGAAGATTATCTAAGCTGCTATTGCAACTGCAGGCTCGGAGGATGCAAATCTGACTCTGGCTAAAGAATCCTGGAGCCAGCAGTGACACTGAGAAACTGTTCTGTAGTCCTCTCTGCTCTGTGAATGAGTCGTTGTTCCACTAAGGAGTACCACAGTCTAGATTCTGCCAAAACAAACTTTATTGCACAAAAAAAAAAAATCTTATGTACAATAGTATATAAACAAGGTATCTTAGATTGACTCTTGTGCATATATTTTCAACTCAATTAGGTCTAAAAATCTGTTGCTAAAACATCTCTGCCTAGAGCAGTCATTTGAGGATTGTCACTTTGAAATGGAAACATTCAGAAATGGTAGGACAGACAACATTAGAGCTATAAAACTAATACTTCTCTTTTACAGCCACATGCTAGTTATGTGAATAGTGTCCACAATAAGGCATTTTCTTGTTTTGTTGTATCGGTGGATGGTAACGCCACATGCATCACAAACAGATTTCAGAACCAGCTCTGCCTTGGGAAGGCAGCAGAGTCACAGCTCTACCCACAACGCTACTGAATGGTGAAAAACAACGTGACATTTACAATGGGATTAAAGAGGCGGTCGAGTAGCACGCAGCTCATGACTTCTCGGGAGACCCTGCTGCCTCTCTGAGACCTCACTTCAAAGTGAACACCGCTTTATTTACTCTCATCTGGTGTATGTGTTGAGTGAGTCCTACCTAAGTTCAGCTTTCCCTCGAGGGAAGACAGGGTTTAAGTCTAAATCAAGCCAATGACAGACCCAGGGGAGTTTGCTTGCTAAAGGGAAAAAAGGTTCCCAAGTTGTTAAATGACACCTTAACAATTCACAAATGTTTCCACCTTTCAGCTTTTCAGAGCTGCTTAAGCAGCAGTGTGCAGGCTTCTGAGTTCTGCAAGAGTTGATATAAATCAGAGAGACTGAAAATAATTCAGTGACGCATGGGGCATTGCCTTTCTGCACAGCGCATGGCAGGGGTCTTTTGGCCCCTCTTTCTGCGCTTTTTTTAGAACAAAGATGACTGCGTTGGAAGTTCTCCCGCCACCATCAGGAGTCTGAAACAGGGCTGAGCTGGTGGGAAGGTGTTTAAGGAAACTGGGAGAGGGCCCAGGACAATGTGCAACTTTGTGCTCAGCTTTCTGTCAAAGCTCCCATAAAAATAATTAAAAAGAAAAGTAAGATTAAGCTCTATATCAACAAAATATTACACTCCTCCAATCAATCATCACCAGGCTCATTTACCTGGAGAAACCAGGTATTTCACCTCCACCCAAGTTACACTGAATACATCTTTGATGTAATGGCGCTCGCAACTGCCAGACACCTCTCCAAGAGGGTGGCCTTCACCCACAAAGCTGCTGTTTAAAACGGTCAAATACACTGAAGTGTTAAACTTTACAACACTCGGCTAACTTGCGCTCAGCCAAGTTTGGCAAAGGAATTTGTCCGTAACTAGGCGTACACCTCTGAAGAAGAACACCCAGAAACAGTGGCTTCCTTAGCTAGAATTGCCCCTTATTCTAGCGTTTCAATCCGACGGATCAAGGTAGCAGCAGGGAGTGAGGTGGCAGGAGGAAGAAGGGAGGAAAATAAAATATTACACTGACTAGAGAGGTGGAAAGCAAAGAGTACTTCAGTTAAGGAAACAAAACAGCTCCGTTCAGAGCAGCCAGAATAAAATATTTCTAGAATGCTAAATTCAAATCAAGACCTTAAAAAAAAATACACAAACTAGACTTATTTTTAAGTGCTCCCCCATCTCTGACCAATGATTTTCTCACCCTCCCTTCCCCAAAACACCAGGATGAACACACCTGCACTCGATTTATGGATTCTTGTAGTTTCCACTTTTCATCCACCCCTTTGCACCTGAAGTCTCAGTGGATGAAGTCACCCAGGGCTTGAGTAAAGCTTTCAGAAAGGAGCTCAGATTCCACCACTGCTCTTTATCTTTGGTCTGTCTAGAACCGCGTCTAGAAGAAAGACATCAGGTAGAAGGGCTCCACAGAGCAGAGAGGCTCCATCTCTCCCAACCTGCACAAAAAAGGTTTCGCCTGGGCACACGGAGCGTGGGCCCTGTCATACCCTGGACTCATCAAAGCGCTCCCTCAGCTGCAGCTCCACATTCAGCATGGCCCCAGGGAAGGGCTCACTGTCTACGAACAGAAAAGCTGTAAAGAGGATTCGCAGTGTAGATCTCATTCTTTAATCAAATGGAGAAGAAAAAAAAAAAAAAAAACACCAACAGAAAAAAAAACAACCAGTGTAGGTGTTTCCAAAAAATAACCTGATGCCACATGCTCCGGCTTTCTAGCATAGTAAGTACCTTTTAAGAGTAGCCTGTCACAAGCTTGGCTTTGTCTAGCATGACATCTTCTCATTCAGCGTTATCCACCAGAGCAGTAAAAGGAGACAGAAGATATCCCGCAGTTTTCTCTGCTCTGGCATTGGTTTGGTTGTCGAGTCTGTCAGGGGTACTCTAGAGTGTGAAGACAGAACATCCCCGCGGCTTGGCCTCTCCACTGTTAACGCAGCTCTAAGCTTTAGAGCAACCTTGAGTGTCTGTCTCTGTCTCAGAGGAGCTGCTCTCAGAGTCTATTTCTGTATTCTCCTGCTGGTGTTTCTCTTGCACCTTCTGCCGAATTCCTTGCAAACGCACTAATAAGGACTGATAGTCAAAGTGGCCTCGTTTTTCACCAAAAGGATCCTGGAAGAAAACCATAGATAAGCCTATTAATACAGACCATTATCCTTCCGACAAGAGGCAGAAAGAAAAAAGCTGCATAGTAATTGGGCAACAAATGGTCAAAGACTTAAGGGTTAAATCCCATCTTATGATGGAGAGGCCCCTTAACTTCCCACTGTTGTGGCAGAGGTTGAAGACTGATGATAATTTCTGTTTGCAGTGTCTTTTGGGAAACCTTACAAATGCAAGCAAAGTTCAAAAACAGATGAAAGGCCACACAGATGTGGCTTGGATTTCTACTACCAGCTTTGAGGAAGTAAACTATTTCAAAGATTTGATCTCAGGACCATTCCAGGGAGGCAGGGAAAACACTAAAAATGAAAGTCTCCAAAATCCACAGGCCAAAGACTTTGGCCACACTTTACATTAGTGCTACAGACCCTGTCCAAACGAAAGCACCGCTATCCTCATTTTAAATCCAGGCCCCCAGTTGAGATGTAGCCAAGTCAGAGGCAGAAAGTCTTTGGAGATTATTTAACACATGCTGCTTTTATCCCCCTTCCAGGTCGAAGACACACTGCCAGGGCTATATAAGGTGGTGGTGGAGCTTACGCTGTCCTGTCTGATGGGAATCTTTGGTACAAGCCAAGATGTGGCCCAAGAGTTAACAGGGCAGCACATCTGGCAAGCACTCAACTGATACCGAGCCTGGAGTGACTTCATTTTAAATACAGGGTAACAAAGACAACAATACCATTCCTCCAGCATGTTGTGTTCGTGCTTCCTGCACTACCATTTACAAGCGAGCAGAAAACCAACCATGGCAGTCACTGCCTCTGGGAACTGAGCGCACCATCATGATCTTCATAAACCCTGGAGAAAGCAACTGAGCCCTGGCTCCTTGAAGAAGAAACAAGAGTTGGCCACACCTGGAAATCCTCTAATGTCACCAAATGTCACTACACAGCCTTCAGTTCAGTACTCTCCGCAGCTGTAAGTCAGGCACAGACCTTCCTTAGGGGAATTTCTCACTCCAAACATGAACTCTCCTGCTTTGGGAGTGCTTTCAATTTATGAATTACACAGTCAGTGACGGCACTGACAGGAAAAAAGGGCTCAGAGACACAAGATCATTAAATCAACCACCTCCATCTTTTCTTAGCAGTGGAATTTCTCAATGAGTCAGACAAGAGGTGGCTGATGAGGGAGGAAGACACATCTGTTCACATGCAAACAGCTTGGCAATATATTCTTTAAAGTCTACTTTCCTGCAGAAACAAGCTCCTGTATTCAACCTGTCTAGATGTGTCTGCCGTATTGTCACTGTTCCTCCACCCCTTCCTCCCCCAGTAACTTTTGACTCAGTCAGCCACTTTCAGTCTTATCTGACAGAACAAGGAGTGTCAGAGTGTTCCTATCCGCTGTATGAGCAAAGAAACCTCAGAAAAAGAGAAACTCTAGCAGCAACCCAACAGGAAAACACTGCCATGGAGTTCAGTTGCCACCACCACCAAACAGCCTGCATGTGCCCTCCCTGCTTAACACCAAATCGACATGAAAGCAAACCGTACCGGTTCCACTGCTGAAAGAAGAATCTGCTTGCCTGGAGAGCGTCTCAGGTCCAGCGCTCAGGAATCTAACAGCCTTAAAAATACTGCGTGCATACTCTGAGCTTGGGGATGGTAGCATTTTATCCACAGGAACGTCTCGGGTCTCAGTTTCATGGTTGATTCAAAGTTGGAATATACATTTCATAGAAAAGATCCAGATCCACCCCATGTACCTCTAGGTGCTACACATCGTTGTTTGTCACTAACCACACACCCTTACCTAAGGTAGTGCCTTATCAACACGAAAATTATCTGCCACTCACCTGCATTGTCTGTCCTTGGAGATAAAGTCTCTCTTTACACACCCCTTCATAGAAGTCGTAGTATTCCATGAAGGATTTTTCCATTACGCCCCTGAACGCAATGAGAGAGCACACAATCAAGACAAAATGACAGCATTACAACGGTCACGTCATCCAGGGTCACCCCATCCCACTGAATGTAGTCAGCATGGACACCCATACAGGGTGTCCCAGACAACTAAGAGGGTACAGCAAGGCAGGACACAGTGAAACAAACTGCAGCATCACTGCAGCTGAAGAGATTCTGCATGTGCTTCCACAATAGCTGTGCTCCTCTCCCTCTGAGATTTCCCCCCCGCCCAGCCCCATAAGACAAGGCACGTTTATTCTCAAACACAAGTCAGAGGATGCAGCCGTTGTGCACATTAACACAGCCTTTGTCAATGCACAGCTCCTGGGCACCCCACAGATGCAGCCATCCACTTCAGAGGAAACAAAATGACTCTTTGCTGGACCAGGCAGAGTTAAAGATTTGCTCTCAGGAATAGCAGCCAGAGAAGTTTATCCTCCTTCCCCACACCCACTTTCTTATGCTCCCTCCATGCCTCTTTTCCATACCGTAATGGCTCAGGACAGGGACACTTTCCTTCCAGCATGTCGCACACTGCTACTCGGATGGTCTCATGCCGAATGCACTCATTATAGTTCTTGCTGTCCCCGGGGTGCCTCTCCTGGAAACAGAATTTGGGCCAGTGAGTCCACGCAACTGCAATGGCTCTTCGTCTCTCCCTCCTCGGCCTGATGAATTTCACTGGCGCGTGAACCCACTACGGCTTTGTCTGTTCTGTGTATGCTGAGCTAATTTATACTGCAAATGAAAAGCTGGCAAGATTTTCCATGTCTCCAGAGCTTTGAACTCACACAGCTGTGGAGACAGGTCAAGTGGTAAAGTTAGCACAGAAACCTGTCTCTCTCCAAGATGCTGGAGACCATGAAAACCTGAGCAGTTTGGTTCCTGCACGACAATATGTCCCAAGGAAGCCATTTCAAGAGTCGTGTAGCAGAGAAATGAAGAGCCATCCCAACTCCCCAGCAACTTCTTGAATGCCTCGTGTTCATCTGTTACCTTACACATACATGAGCTAAGCAGCCTCTGGTTCAGAGCCGGCTTGCAACTCCCCCTCAAGCTCTGACTAGAGGCAGAGCAAGCTGCAAAAAAGCCAAGTGATATAACCTACTTTTATCCCATTTCCAGAATGGGATTTGCCACCAGGAGTGAGGTGTGGAGGGAAGAGACAAATAGCTGCAGAACCAGAGATGATCCACCTCAAACTCTCACCTGCTCAAAGCCAGGTTCGTTGTGATAAGGGTTCTCAGTCATCAGAGACTGGATGGAGATGAGGACTGAAGAGATACTCTGTGCTGGGCTCCATGCAGGCCCGGTCCAAGTGCTGAGGCATCAAAACAGAAAAGCATCAATTAACAACGCAGGACTGGCTCAGTGAGTACCAAGTACCAAAGATCAGAAAGCCTGGGAAATCACATCTCTATACCTTACAGAAATGTGACAGGAAAAGAAACAGCTGTCACAGATACAGAAAGCACAGGACACTGAGAAATTTTTCAGGGTCAAAGTAGCTTATTCTCTCAACCAAATGAGTACTTTAGCTTGAGCAAGACAAGAGAGGCTGGTAAACCTCACTCCACTGCTAACATACACAGGGCATCACACATGAGCTAAGGAAAAGTAACATTTTCGAGCATTTTACAGAGAATTTTAAAGCTATGGCTATCATCTCGCACAGCAGCCTGGAGCAACATAAGCTCAAAAACAACTCTTAAGAACTGAAATCTGATTTTGAAGGCTCAAACAAAACCATCACTTGTGCAGTCTGTAATGCAGACACTCAGCACAAGGACTGCCATCAAAAGCACTAATGGGTGCTCTGCTGTAGGAATAAGGTGCCCGTTTCATACACGCAGGGTAGCAAAAACCTGCGCACAGAACAGCACAAGCAGAAAAAGCTGTTCTGCTGTTTGCCCTCAATATCCTAGTTCCAGATTCAGACCTGTCTCCCTGTGAGCTGAACAAGGATGTGCTGACCCACATACGCTCTTGCTAAACCCTTTCATTTGCAGCTCCCTCTGCGCTTCCCATTTCTGCTAAGGCTGAGGCTCTTTGTGGATTCTTCAATAATTTAGCTTCCACGCTAGGGCTACAATTGCACGAGCAACAATGCAGCTTGCACGGGAGCTGCTGGGCATTCAGAGCCCCAAGATACGGACGTGCCCTACACATCTCAGTGTTTTGCAGGCGTTGGCATCCAGCTCACTGGATCAGGAAGACTCCTACGCTGAGGAAGGTGTTTCCCAGCACAATGTATCTCTCTACCAGCCCTGGGCCAGTATCCGTCAGTTGATGGGTATCAGCTACTCGGCCCAACTTTGATGTAAGTGGTACATGCACAGCACTGCTGAAATCATCCCAGCAGAGGTGGTCTTATAGCCGCGTCCGCGCTCAGACTCCTGCTAGCTGATCAAATCCCGACAGCAATTCAAGCTGTCATTGCCTCTTCCTCACCTGGCTGCCGTCACTACCTCTCTGCAGCAGAAGGAATCAGGTACTAACAACCCAGCTGCACCAGTCCAGAGTCTCAACAAAAGCCTTTCTTTACTGGCAACTGAAACTGTCACAGCTGGGGCTGGGAATATCACACCACGGCCAGGGTTCCTCTGGCAGAGCCGTAAGAGCCGTTCAATCAACCAGGACTTTCACGTTTAAAAATCAAGCCCGTAAATAACACGCATTTGCAGCAGTGGAGGCTGTTTGAACAGGCAGCATGGGAGCAGTCCTTGTAAATCACTACACCCACTGCTCAGCCCCACATACTACGTGTAGGTGGAAGCCCAGAGCAGTCAAATGGCTCTCAAGGAAGTCCTTAGCGGCTTTTAATTTTATTTTTTTATTTTTAAACCCACACATAGGGAGGAAATTAAAACCACAAAAAACCTACATTCAAACAACATCAAGGATCAGACTGCAAAGCGCAAAAGCGGAAGAAACGCAGTGCGTGGTCCGAGGCTTTGCGAGGGGAAGCAGGAGAAAAGCGGCAGCATCCACTGAACTTCGTGCCTCCCCTGCTCTGTTCTCAGGTGCTTTTAAAGATAAATTAGACTCTTGTTTCAGTAGAGGAATTTGTGCTGTTTACAACTTTGATTCTGCACACAACTTCACAGAAGCATAAAGGTGCATCCAAGCACATGTCTGGGGCAAGATCAGGGCACAAAGCGCTGAGAAGGATGCATGAGGCAGAATACAGCCTGAAGCCACCTCCTGATTTCCCATCAAAACAGCCAAAGTCTCCTCTTACCCTAGAATACTCAGGCAGACTTTCCCATTGCGGTAGAAGTTGGGGTTAAACCTCACTGTGTTATTTCCCGTTGTCATCAGTTTGACCCTTGGTGGGTGGATGGGATAATCTGGAGGACAGCGAAACAGGAACAAGAAGAAACCCCCTTCATAAGGCGTGTCAAATGGGCCTGTGATCAATGCATGAATCTGGAAAACAAAAGCCCGTCTTGCGCACCACTTCAAAATTGTGCAGCACCGTCAAATCCTCAACAAAGCCAACCGAAGGCAAGAAATCTCCACCCAGGCAGCAGCACAGAGGCAGCCTCTTCCACAAGCACACGCCATGTGCAGGCCATACTCAGCCCTCCCTCCTTCCCTCGTTAGCCAGAGCCACTGCTGCGCACTTCTCTCCCCTCTGCCACACTCAATGTGCAAAGCAGGTTTCCACGCAAGGTTTGGCCAGAGTCCACAACAGCTGCCTCCCACACATCTCTATACAGTCCAAACCAGACTAAATCACAGTTCAGCTGGTAAGTTCTGCTTAAAAAAAAATGAAAGATTTCAAATATGAAAAAAAAAATCTAATTTTAGAAAGAAAAAAAAAATCAGAATTTCTGCCAAAACTAGAGCATTCCTCAATTTTATGGTCTCGTGCTGATTTGGTCTTATTAAAACCAATCACTCAATTTCCTCTGCCAGGATCTGAAATTAAGACCCTATTCTCTCCATGCTAATTACCCTCAAAGATTCCAATTGTATACCAGGAAATGTACTCCCTTTGGGGTATTAAGGAAGCTTACTCCCCAGGTGATCCAAGCAGTCTCCTTTAATGATCCTCTTACCTCCCTTGGAGTTCAGTTAGAAGCCCCAAGGCTGGTGTTCTACAAACCCGCATTCTGGTTCAAGGGCATTTTGGCACTTTCAGCTACCAAGGCTGAGGGAAGCCAGAGCTGCAGCCAAGTGCCCCAGGTGGGAGTTGGCTGTGCAGAGACACTCCCTTTGTGCTACCTCCAAAAACCCAGGGGCCCTAAGTCAGGCAGGCACTTCCATGGGGGGAATTTGGGGGAAATCTGAGGGATGCCATGTTTGTCAGGGGGGTGGGAGAAGCGTGCAGCAGAGGAAAAACCAAAGCAACCTCGCACACATGCACACACAACTCTCAGAAACCAGCACAGCCAGACCAGGTGACACTGGCTGGAGAAAGGGCAGCACCAGCCAAGAAACACACTGGATTGAGAACATCATTTCAGCAATCTCTGCCTCCCAGCTCACCGCATTTTCTCTGACATAATCGGAAATTCCCAGTCCTGGAAAACCTCAAGAGCCAGGAGGGGAAGAACTGGGGCAGAAGAGACCGTAGCTGTGCCTGTGTCCCTAGACGTAGGTCTGCTGCTGGTGGGAGCGGCTGCGTGGGTCAGACCTGCATGCGACCCTGGTACCTGTGAGAACCTGGCAGGCAGCTCCGCAGCGGGACAGGGTCCAGGTGCAGGGACACATCTCTCTACCAGCTCACAACAATTAAACACCTCCAGGTCCCACAGGCAGATTATCGATACTCCAGCTCTGCTTGTCAGTAATGGACATTCCTCATTTCCAGCTTCTCTGAGAAGCTCCCCATGGCCAAAGGCTCTCCATGGAGCTCTCTCTTCTTTGAGCTGTTCTATTGATTGTTTTCAAGCATCAGTAGGATGAAATGAGCTGGATTAGCACCCACAGGTTCACAGGGCCACTAAAGAAGAGCGGGCTTTATCTGTGAAAGCTCCCCAGATCCCTGTGATGGTACCTCTCTACAGAGCCAGTTTCCTTGAGAGCCTCCTCCCATTTTAAATGTAGCCCATCTCAATGTCACCACGAAAACTGGAGCCTCATTATGCTCTTGCAAGACTCACCCTGATTTCTCTCAAAACATTAAGGGAATACTCCACTGGGGCAAACCCTTAAAGCAGCCATCAACAGCAACACACAGAGGAACAGAAAGTTGAACCAGTTCCAAATCTTCTCTTACCTTGGTCATGTCATGGGGATCAGGCACAACAAACATTCCTGGGGGCGGTTCCTTGTAAATGGACATGATATCCCTGAACAAAGGAAACAGGAATTAGTCAAGATCTCCCTTGGCGTTCATCAGGCCTTGAGGCACAGGACGTTCTAGGTGACAAATCTGTGCACAGATGCAAAGGGACAGACTTTTAAGATGAAAACTTGCAACTCAAAGAGCGAGGTATTTTTCTTTTGCCTCTGACTGTTTTCTGGTTCAGCTCCACCAACTTACCCCCAAAAATAGTTGGGGCATTTCAAGAGCACAAAAAGCATTCAATGAAACAATACACGTGAAGCATCAGACCAAGTGCACCTTGACTAACTGCTGCCTTGTATTTTACCACAGATCAGCTCCAGCACATAAAACTTCAACCATAAACTTCCCCTAAGGAAGTCATTTAAAAGTTCGCTTAGGTAAAGTTTGTTGTTTAAAGGATGACTTTCCCTCTCTCTGTTTTCCTTCTTCACACTCAGACTATTTACAGGATCCCTTTCATATACCCAGTCATTTGTTTTTCCCCAAACATACTGTGACTCAACTGCCGTTGAGAACGTTACTGCTCTGACAAATTTGGGTTTAATCAGCAGGTTCAAGAGTAGTTGGGATGCACACACACAACTCGGTCACAATGGCCTTGTTTCTCTAGTAACTCAGTCCAAATGAACTGAAAAACAACAACTCACCTACAACTCCGTGCAGTTCACAGATAAACCGAATGGCACCCATTACCTTTCATCGCCCAAAACCTCCCTCCCAGAATCGGAGCTGCACTGAGCTCTGGGACAAGCTCCCACTCAACTTTCCCATTTGGGAAGCAACCAGAGCTGAGAGAGGTTTCAAGGCAAGAACAAGTGCAAGAGTAACAGGAGAGCCTTGCCTTCCTGCCTACCGTTACGAGGTTAGTGCTTTTGGCGTTTGGATTGGAAACTGCCCAAATATCTGGTGCCATCTTTGGAAGACATTATACAAGCTCTAGAACAAGGATGAGCAAGAGCCTGGCAGGCAGTGATACTTGCTCCTAAGGAAGAGGAAGAACTTGTTGAAACAGTGCCAGCATTTCTAACAATACAAGACCATATTGCTCATTATATCAAAGGCTATCAACATGCCGGGTTTACCAGATGATCCTTTGAGGAGTCAGCACAGCCAAACGGGTTCAGGAAGGAGGATCGCTACGGGCAAGTTTAGTATAAACATCTTAACTTGACCATTGATGGGGACTGAAAAGCCTGCTCCCCTCCCCATTTAACAGCACCTCCGAGGAGCAGCCAGCGATCCCAAGGGCAGGATTAGAGCCACACACCAAGGAGCTCTGCTGCCAAACGCCCCAGACGAAGAAAGAGACTCCAGATGGTGGTACAGGGGTCTATAGCTCCAGGGCAGGTGAGGTGTGAGACTCCATCCTTGCCCAAGCACCCGGGCAAAGACAGTCCTGGGGCACGGTGGGGACCAGGGTCTGTTCCCAGGAAAGCCTCGGGACACCGGGAGGGACCGGTGCCTGTCCCCAGGCCCCAGCCCAGGTCTCCCAGACAGCTGGTGA